GCGACGGAATTCATTATACAGCCCGGTTTGTTGCAACGACAAATACACCTACTCGGGCAAAGGGAGTATATTTCTATGATGGTTTAGGTGTAAACGGAGGACTTCCTGGGCACAGCATAAAGGAATCGGGAGGTCTTGCGGCTAATCTTGGCGGCTGGAACACTCCAATGCCGAAGAACTACAAATCATATCAAACCACCACCATCATCTACAAACTACGTGGCGGGAAAAAGGCTCAGGAATGGTTCTGGAGGCGTCAACACCACCTTCTTGAATCGAAACTTGCCATTACATTGAGCGAGAATTTCCCTCAAGAAGCAGTTTCTCAGCCAAGAATAACCCAAAGCGATGTCACACAGCTATCATCCAGCAGTATGTTGTGGTTGCAGGAGGCTTCACGTTCCAAGGTCTCACACGTCGAATATGTACGCTCGGACTTGGTTTCCGAACCTATGATTCCTCACTCACGATCAGATCCGGTTATCTCTCTTGACGCGGAGCATGCCGGTATCTTTCATGGTACGTGGATCCATTTTCTAGATCTCAATCTTTGATACAATCTCAAATCCTGACATCTTCTCAAGATGACGATTCAATCAAGGAATTCTTCGAAGAATCTGCTGCATCCTCCCGTGTCAAGCGATCACCGTCATTCTCCTCATCACGGTCATCTTCTCCGGAACAGCCGTTTATGTATTCATCCTCACCTGCCACACCAATACCATTCAACTGTCGATGTGGCGAGAAGGACGAAGGGAATCATCAGCGGGTCATGCAAGATGCTATTCAGTGTGATTCTTGCGATAATTATTCGCATGTTGCTTGCCAACCTACAGGTGATCTGGTATCATCATCAGACACCTTTTTCTGTCACGAATGCTTGGACATAGGGATGGATCATCAGGGACAAAGGTGCGTATCACAATGAATGATGGGTTATTTCACGTTTGAATTGACTTTGAACTCACAGTAATCACAATGACATTCATCGCGGGCAGGAGCGACTATTGTGAGTGACATTAGCTTATAAACTGGCTTCATAGCTAATTGATTGATGTAGGCGAGGAAAGACAGTATTGGTCAAAGATGGACCATTATTTTGGTACCCCGCACGATTGATCCACCCGCACTCCAAGTCGAAGTGGACAGTAAAGTGGTGGCGCCACAATCAGGTGGCTCAAGGATGTAAACATTCTCCTGGCGACTATGAGATTGTCTCTACCTCGAGGATTGTTGATGGACTATGGCAAGACGTTAGCGGAAGGCGTAATGTTCGGGTCAGTGCTCATTGTTTGACACTATGTGATAATTCTTACATCCCATAGCTCGGTAAATGGATGACCACTCCAGAGCTACGCAGATCCGAGCTAGATCGAGAGGAGATAATAGAGGATCCAAAGAAATCACTTCCATACTCACCAGATATCGATGCCGCACTTCGCCCCCATAGAGATCGGTTTTGGCAAGTGATATTTGATCGCCAAAACATTGACATTGACGACTTTCCCACTATCGCCTTCATGCGCCAACATCGTCTGAACGTTGCTCCGTTTAATGGTGGAATATCCCTTGAGACTCAGTCCCAAATCATTAACTGGATCTACAACCACGTCCCGGGTGTAGAAAAAGCCGCTGCTCCACTTTGGATTGTGGATGGAAGCCTTCAGGACGCAATGATTCTATGGATCAAACACCGTGACTATGCGGAATTCGAAAGGTACCCAGACTGTCCTTCCAACCAGAACCAGAAGGAGAGTTTCATTCGGGAGAAAGCATGGCAGAGATTGCAGGATTATACTGGCGCAGATGAGAATGGAAATAGAGACTGGAAAAAAGTGGTTGATGTTGACCGAGAGGCACTGGCAGCTCTAGAAAGGACGATGTTTGATCAGTCAAAAGATGCCGGCCATGCAGGAAACTGCCAGTGGGGACTCGACGTGGGAATACATCAAGATGGCTGGTATCCTTACAGCCATTTCGATTTCGGGCAGGTGGACAACGAACGTGATGATGAAGAAGAACAAATGGTGGGTGTATAACTCATGTACATGTCAAGGATACTAACTATTCTGTCAAGCCCGGACGACGATTTGAATTGGATGAATATACTAAAGCATGGAGAAAGGCAGAGCAAGTACGGTGTGAAGAAGAGGAAAGGCAGCGTCGCGAAAAGCCAAGGCCAAAGCCGACCCGAGTATATAAAAGAAAGTGACATATTTCGGTAGTTTCACAATATTCAATGTGTTCTCGCACTGCACGTACTCGGGTTTCTCTCCGAGACTTGTTTAGTCATCAACTAGCAAACTATTTTCCTATAAACTAGAGGTATTCAAGTATCTAATAACATACTCAGTATAGGTTTATTCGTACGGGAACGCACTTACTATACTCTTGCAAGTTGGATGAACACATCACACGCACCTTCCGTTTTTGGTACCTGGGTCTTTAGAGCAGACCGACTTACCATTTCCGGCATTCCTGTCCAACACTGTTGAACCCTAAGCGCTCGTTGGGGGCAACCCCGGGCCGAAGTCTCGTACACCCGGGTTTCAGTACATTGTAATGAGCATGTAAGTAAGTGCGAGGAATGTGAAGGTGAATGTAAGGTATGTGTAAGTAACTGTAAGTAATGTATAAGTAACTGTAAGTAATGTGTAAGTAACTGTAAGTAACGTGTAAGTAACGTGTAAGTAACGCGTAAGTAACTGCAAGTAACGTGTCAGTAACTGTAAGGAACGCTCACGTAACTGCAAGGAACGTGTCAGTAACTGTGAGGGACATGTCAGTAACTGTGAGGGGCAATCGCATAATTTGTAAGTAACAGTCGGGAGGGTTTGACAACTCTGAAGAAAGTATTGATCTTGTTCAGCATACCTCTGGGCTCTCAGTTGACCCTCCCAGGGTGCCGTCTGGCGGTTGTGGGCTCAAGAACAAACTACGACATTCAGATAGCTGATATGAATGTTTCAGAGACAACAACTGTGTATATTCGCAAGTAATGACCACTAGTGATCAATCCTTCTACTGAGTTGCCATCATCGAGACTGAGTTCGGACATTTTCGTATGTTTTGACGCTCCTACAGACCGTGGGAAAAACAATACTTCCACCATACGAGGCACGTAGGAGTTGCCCATATTACATCCAAGTGACTATTAGTCGCTCAGTGATAAGCGAGAAACCATTTGAGGGCTTTCAAGTAACATGAAAGTGTCATGAGAGGGGCATGTCAGTAACAGTAAGTAATGTCAGTAACGTTACTTACATGCGTTACGTGAATTTTATAACGACCCCTATACGTCGAGCGTATATTTTGGTACTTCCCGTGTGTTTCTTTTCCGTTGACCATCACCTTCATCGTTGATCCATTCTTCAAACCAACACTGCACGTTTACGAGTCCATTGAATCGCTCGTCATCTTACACTTTCCACAGAGTACCTCCACACAACACTCCCTCAGCTGCCTGTGGTAGACAAAACACACTATCGGCTACCATTGGTTCCAACATCGACGCTACCCAGCCTGTACTACAAGATATATCCCATCTTTCAGAGGTACCTCGTCTTGTCACTCTCTGCTCACCTGTCGCTCACTATTCCTCATCTGCGTAGCCATTGGGGCCGTCTCCGGTGGATTCGATGTTGGCTATGTTAGGACAGATCGGACCGATGAACGAATACTGAGCAAGGTACGTATGCAATCTTCATCTGCCTCTCTCACCATTACCGTGTCATCCAGACCCCTCAAGCCGTCCACCACTCCACTATGTTAGATAAAGCACACTATCATGATTTGTTTCCAACATTCACACGCTACCCACTATTCGACAAATCAGCAACCCCACTTTTGACTTGAACCCTACGACTCGTCCTGCGCAGTTAACCCGTCATGCCATTCCCTGGATTATCGTTGCTCACTGTCACCTATTCCGTAGCCGATGGGGCGTCTTCGCTGATTACAATGTTGGTTAGATTGAGCTGGTGAGCATGGGTTCTTTAGCTTCTTACCTACCGCAACTACCGCTGTCCTAATCGTTACTCCCACCCTGCTTAGCAAAAGGGCTCTAGATACGCCTAGACCGCCCGTCGCCGCACCCTTTACGTTGTTGCTCTCTCCCAATCTCTCGTCAAGCCCCCACCAATTCCACTTCTTACATTCAGTTGACTCGGTCCTTTACCACGACACCTTTAACCTGCCCCACTTGCTACCCACGGCCCCTACTTCAAATGTCAAACGAACGAGAGACTATTATTCAGCCAATGCACGTCGCTGCCTGATCGCTGGCGTTTCCAAGGGAAGTAATTCGAATGTTTGAGACCATAGGCTCTTAGGCACGTTTTCCATCTGTTCCACTTAACATTCCTTGTCTTACCTTGGCGTCTTGCCTCGTAGAAAGATCCAGCTCCTCCTTGTTTGAAGCGAGGGTATGTTGCAAATCCTACTGCATTCATACTGCTCCGTAGCCGCTCATACCCCCTACGATTGCTCGCACGAGCCTCACCATCGTTCCCGTTCGAACCCTTCGGAAAGGATGAGTGTAGTGATGTAATCTTTGAGAAAGGGAACGGTACGTCACCTCATGACTGGTGCCAATCATTCATCTCACCACTAGTTCTGCATTAGTCTAGCGATTGGCATACATCCTTTCGTCTCGAAGATTTTTCATACACACTCCCCATTTCCACCCCCCACCGTCTTTCAGAGCAAGATGTGGGTACGACTGTCACCCCCTTCATCGTTCCAGGTATGCTCTCCGTTCACACCCCTTGTTTCCGTGACTCATTGACCATCGAAAACCTACGACCATCCTGTGCTTAGGGTAACAGCGGAGACGGAGTGTCGTTCTAGTCTTCGTACATACCTGTATTTCACTATTGCACCCCATGCGCGCGCGCTTCGGGATTTTGCTCAATGATCTATGAAGAATCTGTTTCAATCCCGAGATCTGAATATGGCAAGTTGAGGAGAAAAACATAGGGAACTACCACATTGTACTATGATGCATTAAGAGGGAATCGAACCCCCGGCGGGTCGAACCAGGAATCTGTTGTGCTAACTTGGAATGGCAACGACCCAGGTTACCACTACCCCATTAATGCGGTAGCCCGTTTGGTGGTTTTGTTTGATCGACACGTCTATTTTTGTAAACCCCGATACAAAAGATGCATTTCAGGGTGGGAGGAACGAGTATGTAACTGTGGAATCAAAACTAAATAAACGATATAGCGTTGTGTGGAATAATCGGAGTCAAGTGGTAATGGCACTTGACAAATTGCAGCTGAACTATTAACGCGCTGAGGATAAATAATGAGTCGAGATGGGTCTTGGGTGACAGATCGAAATAAAGTAGTTATATGGAATAAAAACGAGGTTTTCCGTGGCTCGTTGTTCTTTACTCGCAGTCAGACAGAGTCAAATCCCATACATACATAGACAAGTGACGTGGCGGGGTATAACATGGTTTTCGTTGATTTGAAGCCGTGTCTGTTGCGTACCAATGAATCAAGCAGGGTCCAAGTCAATGAAGAAATTTTGGGTGTTTCGAAATCGGTAAGGAGGTGGTATGAATATGGATATATGTGAATCCAATCATAAGAAAATGGTTGAAACAATAGAGCAGAGAGAAATTATACATAGCAAACATGACGGCGCTAAATATCAGGGGAACTCGATGAATGAGAAGTTTGCGAGAAACATATGTACAATGTAACAGTCGGAATAGATAAAACGGAACAGGTCAAGTTTTGCAAAGAGTAAATAGGTGAATCGAAGCCAAGGAGGAACAAAGTCGTAACAGAGCTAGTAACGAAGCTAATCCTTCCAAGAACCAGGCATGTTCAGCGTATCATCGACAACCTCTTCGAATCGATCCGGTCTCTTTGTACCGATGACTTCCATCTCTGGGTATCCCATGCTCCGGGCCCAATCCGAGGTTTTAGGGTCGAATCCACGTGCGACTTGCCATTCTTCGAGAGCTGTGTAGTCTCCTTTGCTCCATGATTTGTATTGGGGGTCGTAGGACGCAGAGACTACCGGAAGATCCCACCTATAACACTCGTCTTCCGAGACTTTGGACTCTCCAATCTCGTCAAGAGACCAGAAACCTGGATTTCGCAACCATGCCTTGGATTCCACCACTTTTATGGGAGGTGATTCAATGAACAGGTATACCTGTGATGGTTTGGGGCGAGCCTCCTCAGGTGCTTGATCATCTTTCATGGGTGGAATCATCAAAGTATATTCCTCCATGGTTTTATACGTCGAAGGATCTTCACCCGGAAGGGATATGTAGGATTCATATCTATTGCCGGACCGGGACCACAGTTCAATGCGACCACCTGTGAGACACGTAACTGTCCTTGCCCTATGAGCTTGTCAACCAGACATACAAGAAGAGGCATCCGTACAATATCTCTCCGTCTCTATACCCGTGACATTGTGTTCATTGAAAATTTTAGGAGATTGCGACAACCATGTGGGTTCGATGGATGGTACGAGCTCGTAACCGAGATCATGCCAGGGAGGTTCAATTGTGTTGTTGCGAAGATTCAGCTTGAAGCTACAAATAAATGAGCCAGGTAAGCGAACCCCAATGGCAACGTACCGAAGATATCCGTCATCAGTTTTTACCACTGTGCGCTCTGGTCTAGATTTCTCTGCGTCCATGATATCGAAGAAAAAAAATGGGAATTGCGACAACCTCGCAACCGCCTCCATTGTTGACCTAGAGTAAACAGTGCCGACCTGAACATGCGAACAGTCGCGAACGAAGACTGGGAATCTGCAGTCGCGAATGAAGGCTGGGAATATGCAGTCTAGGAATATGCAGTCTTGAAGCGGTTGATTGCTGAATACCAATTGATAATCCCTTGGCCCGAGTTTGCGGAGGGATTCACCAATATCCGCCATTGATAGCATCGGAAACTTTGACTCTAGTTCACAGAGAGATTCAATAATAAAGTCGAGTCGATGCCGTTGATTCGCCATTGATAGCAATTGAGAATCTACCCTTGACCCTAGTTTGCGGAGAGATTCAATAATAATGTTGGGTTCCAGCATCTGGACATGCGGTATCCCCTCCGGCACACTCCATACACATTGGAATTTGTCGAACATCTTTCGAGCCCCGATTTCCGTACCCCTGGTTATCTTCCCTTGCATATCAACCAATATATCGCGAAAAAACCAGCCTTCTTGATTCTGAGGGCACAAATTTATCGTTTGTATACTGCAGCTCTACATACAAACACTTACCACGAGTTTCAAAAAGGAGACTACTTTCCAGAACGGATCTATGTCGATATTACATTTCCAAGGCACCAATTCTGGGCAAACCAGTCAGCATAAACTAACAAGAGAGCAAAAGAACCTTACCACCGTGGAATATCAGCATCGGGATCTTTGATCGATTAATTGCAAAAAGCTGCAACATGTTCGGCGATCTAGGAAGTTGATCAGGCCTCCAGTGTATCCCGGACAAGTCTTAATTGCATACCTGTCATCTGAGAATTCTCGAAAATTATCCTCCCAGACACGATGTGCGCCTTTGCCTTTGTATGTCATTGCAGTGAACTTGACTCCGCTGCCCACAAACTGCACAGTATATACAGTTCGTCGAGCTTTATGGCAGGCGATAATCCTCGACCTTGTACAGTCCCAGTCAAATTTAGAAATCATCTGCGAATCTAAGTCTTTTATCATGATGATATCGCCGAGAATCACTTCACGAAACTATATACACATGTATTCAGCCTCCAATAAGTTAATATTCTGAATGACCAACCTGGTCGTAAGTAGAACGCTTCGCCACAGTCCCCTCGACGCTATTCCCAATGACATTGATAGTATGGATCGTTCCGTGGTTGTTGACCTGATGCCCACCGACATTGTTGGTGATGGTACCAACGACGAAATCAGAGCACTCCGTGAGCATATCTCGATTTTCGGATTCACGTCGAGGGGAAGCGTGAAGGAGTAACAGGAAAGCCCAAGAAAGGGCGAACATATGTATTTTGAGCCCTACAGCATTGAACAGTAATGGGCACGCGACTGATAGAAGCTGACTGAGCAGTTGATGCAGATGTACAGGAATGGTATGGGCGTTGGGTGCCACTTGACACGAACCATGCGGTGGATCAGTTGGTCAGTCGGTTAAACATACATGCGGCGAAATTTAGGTTTACATTCGGATCGGAATCAAAAGACTTGGGCAGCCAGCACGGACTCTGTGGACTGTCAGAAGCTGTAGAGCGATTACATCTCTCGGCGCAAACCAGTAACGCTGCCTTGCGCGGTGATGAAATCAACATTCTTCAACAGCATTATGAGCTTCAGTTGACCACAGGACTGAACGCTCATGAACATGTGGTGATTGCGCAGTAGAAGAAGCAAATCCTCAGCGCGTATTTTATAATAGACACCAATAGGAAATGAGGTTTCCACCTATACTCTGAAGCCCTGACTCAATGGTCAACGTGCGTGGTATGGTCGACTCTTAAGGGATAATCACGCGTGTCAGCCCTGGCGACCATGATCAAAGATTCCATTGACGGAGGAGTGTGGAAGAAATGCATCTATGCGACGGAAGGTGAACAGCAGCGCACGATATCAGTGGGAAGAAGCAATCAAGGCAAAAGCAAAACGCACATAAAGACTAATATTCGTCGTAAGTTAAACGAAACAGGGAATAGTGTGAAGGATAGACTTGAAGCCGGAGAAGAATGGAATCGTTATGGGGCTAATCCCTCCGTAACACTGATTCTGACCTCTTTGAATCTATCGGGCGTTTCTGAATCGATGACTTCCAGCACGCAATTTTCCTTGCGAGTGTTAGATACAGCTTCATGTTGATACTTGAAGTAACTCTTGAACGTTTGGACTTGCGAATAATCTGTCTAGTATTTGATGTGGAGGCGGCGGGATAAACAATAATTTTAGATCTATGATTGGACAGTAAACGCACGTGAGCATATACTGACTACACACGACATGAACTGAAGGATCCAAATCATCCGATATCGGTTGTCTACTGAGTACCAGGACCACTTAAATTGCAGGTGCCCACAATTTGGCGATGCTAACTTTTCACAAGGGGGTATTGGATGAATCAGGTTCGCGGAGCAGATGCGAATAGTAGCCACCGAATGGACGCTTCTTTTTTGAACCCAAAGATAGAAAGTGAAGAGAAGAGAAGCAATGGAGAACGCGGAGAAAGCTGTCCAGTGGGAAGGAAGATATTCGGTGACGTCAATTGACACGTGGAAGACGCGTAAGCGTTGTCGTCGCGCTGTCGTTTCTTCTTCGTTGACCATCACCTTCATCGTTGATCCATTCTTCAAGTAGACACTGTACGTCTACAAATAGGCTCACTCGCTCGTCATCTTACACTTTCCACAGAGTACCTCCACACAACATTCCCTCAGCTGCCTATGGTAGACGAAACACACCATCGGCTACGATCGGTTCCAACATCGACGCTACTCACCCTGGACTCATTGTTGGTCACTCTTCCTCCTCATCTGTTTAGCCGTTGTGATGTCTCCGGTGGACTCAATGTTGGCTAGGTTAGGTTGGACGTTGTTTGGATTAGGACTGATCGGACTGATGAACGAATGCTGAGCAAGGTACGTATGCAATCTTCATCTGCCTCTCTCACCCTTATCGTATCATCCAGACGCCCCCAAGCCGTCCACTACTTGTCTCCCTCACGTCAACACAGCTCGTTGTTCCCTACCGACACCAACTTAAACCATAGGGCTATATATCTTTGACGCACATCGCTTCCTCTCCCTCAAACACTCCTTTCGATGCGTCAGATGCCGTTTCCAAGAGTGTTTGTCGGAGAGGTCAAAGCCCAGCAAGAGGCAATCGGTTTTGAGGTACGCAGTTCATTTTACCTTTTCGCTCAACGTTGTGATAACCAGGATACAGTTTTCGACGTTGTCAGATAAACCGGAGAAAGGTACGCACGAGTCTATTCCATTTAACACTTCTCATCATCGTACTCTCTAAACCTTTTACTGCCCATCAAGACCCCTACCAATCCCGTTTCCATCGAGAACGTCAGATGCTGTGTTCCTCGGCAATGACCATTCCATAC